AGTCTGCAAGGCGACCATCTTGAGTGGAAACTTTCACGAAACGTGGAATTGTCGCGTGTCGGCGATAAAGTTCTTGCTAGATCGCCGACCGTTCGATCGCAGGGAAAGTGAAGTTGTTAATGGTGGAATTGCGGGTGGAAGGAACGACGTAGGACGAAAGTTCTTTCCACCGTGGATTCCCCTGACCTCTAGGAGGTAGGAGTTCCTAGGCAATTCCAAGGTGGAAACCACGATGACGAATTAAGGCTGGTCGGTGGTCGGAGTGATTAGAAAGGCAGAGAGTCGGGTCTTTGCGGCGTGGCCAGGCTACGTCACGGCGCGTGTGTGTGTATGTGCGGGCGCGCTCGCGTGTGCCTGCTCGCGGTGAAAATCGTTTGCCACGTCGATCCGCGCGCGTGTTCTGCGTGGCGCGTCGAGCGGATGGAAGATGAGTGAAAGGTTGCCTGGCCGGACCAAGGTCTGTTCAATGTCTCATCCCGGCTTCTCCGGAATAGCAACGAGCCGTAGAAAACGGCGTGGCATTAAACGAGCCCTGGCCAGAAAATACTGGCTGGCTCGCAATAACGATAAATCCCCTCGTTCCATCGTGCTGGATTTATTCGGTTAGGAGAACTAATTAAGGAATTAATTGAATCCTGTGCGATCTCGAGAAATTTTCCACCTATATCTTTGCTCTATTTTCACCACCGGATCAACTGTGTCCGCATGTTCCTTCGTTCGTTTTGCCGAACGGGGATGGCCAGACGAAGGGGTGGCCACCTTGCCGCGGTTTTACGAAGATAGAATCCGTCGGTTGGGATGGTCACCTGCGTGACACCGGAGCCGAGCGCATTCGTCTTAGCCGACTTATTGAACGTCGGGTTGTGCACGCGTGTCCGCGTAACTAGGCTGTTTATCATATAGATTGGCCGGCTAGCGCACGCCACACGCTCCCGCAACTCCCTCCTGTTGCGCTGTCGATACATGAGAACCCGTGACGCGGTTCGTGGAACGCGTGCACACGCTCTCCCTGGATCGATTTCAACGGCGAGATCGAACGTACAGCGCGTGGAACTTCCTCGAACGAAAGAAACTGTCCCGGTTGTGGAAAAGCTTGTTCTTCCTCCGAAGTGTCGTCGTGTATTATGGGGCGGCGGCGGGGTGCTGGGGGGATTCATTAATATTAATCGAACGAATCTGACCGCGTTCACGTGGCTGGCAACAGCCACGATTTTCACACGACCTCGTCAAGGCAGCAGCTATATACATATATATGATAGTTTTGGAGGTGGACAAAAAAAAAAGAGAAAAGGGGAGAAGAGGAGTGTAGGTTGGAAAAAGTCCTGTTGCACGAATCCTCGCGCCAGGCTTGTATCCTTCTCTGTGGGCCCGGCGAGCTCGAGACGGAGGAGCGGAAAACGCGATAGGACGGGCCAGGGGCGAGGCACGGGGTCGGAGGGAGCGAGGTAGACAAAAGGGGAAGGAGAAGGTGCACCGAGAGCGGGTCGAGCGCGCTAGTGTTAGGAATGTGGTACCACTGCTTGTCACAGTCACAAGCGCGCAGGCTGCACGGTACCACCGGTACATTATAATATGCGCGGCTGCGGTTGCATATAAGTGCAGTAGGCGTACGACGCCTGGTGTGTGCGCTCGTCTATATATCGAACGGTTTGCCCGAACGCTGGCCACGTAGTCTCGAGTTGGCTGGCTCGCAGGCAACGATGTACGATAATTGGCCCTGGTATAACAGGTTTCGCGGGGGCTCTCGGATCGGCCAGGATTTCGGGAAACTCCTTTTGACGGGAGTATTCTTTTTCGAAATATATAAAGCTATACACATAAAAAGATATATATTTTATATATATATATATAAAAAGTGAGAGAGAGTATGCAGACACAATGTTTCCTCGGTTGAAATCACCGGGCATAAATTATCGCGTATATCAGCGCGGCGTGCAGGTAGGATCGGAAACGCAATTAAAATAAAATCAGGGCCCCGGTCGCGCCGCTCTGCTCCGGCTCGCCGCGAGGGAACCGCGCGTCGAATCGATGCCCCTCCCATTGTTTTCAAAGAGAATTGCTGTAAATCGGAGGATTACCAGGCCGGGGAGATCGAGACTTTTCCGGCCGGTCCGTACGAGTACGAGTAAACGATCGTTTTACGAGCGTAGCCCCGATAACGATCTCCGTGTATCCTTGACTAAAACGTGACTAGAAGCGGAGGGAGTGCGCCGATACAACCTCGATACAAACATTGTTCTCTCATCGGGATACAAATTGCTCGTATGCCGATGCAGCTTCGCTCTCCCTGCTTGGGGGGGATGAATAAATAAAATGCTCTCGTTCCTTCCACCATTCTCAATTCTCTCTCTCTCTCTCTCTCGAGCCTAATCGAACAGACGACACACGTGGAGACACTTCCTAATCGTTCGTCCAAGAAATTCCGTGCAATTTCGAAGCGATCGCTCTCGTCGTGAGTGTACAAGTAGAGAAGAGTTAGAAGAGGAAAGGGAAGTGAAGCTGCCGACACAGATAGAGGTACTCGCCGCGCAAGATGCGTCTGTCAGGCTATTAAGCGTTATTAATTAACCCGATACGGTGATTAACGAGCTCACAGTGCTCCTTTTATCGTGGATCCACCGAATCGCGAGGCTGTTCGCGGAATCGTCGTCGAAGGGTTAGGATAGAGGGGCTGAGGGAGATAGGAGGCCGAGCCGTCGGAAGATTTATCGAGGCGCGAGTGTAACGGTGCGCGACGGGTGTATCGATCGAGAGTGACACGCGCGGCGGCGGCTTGGGCCCCGATTCGATGACCGGCTATTATGCAAGCGGTTCCGAGAAATCGAGGAAGGGCTCCGTCCGGAGGAGAGTCACTCGGATACTGGAGCAGAGCCGAGGGAACAGTAATAATTACTCCCGCGCCGTCTGTCACGGCCGATCGATAACTCGCTGGCAATTAACTTTGAAAAATCGTCCCGAGTCACGTACGATCCGGTTTCCGAAGGATCTCACACACCGCCCTCCCGCTCTCCTCTTTTTCTCCGCGATCCTACCGGCGTAGATTAGATCCTCCTGCGGATGATCGAGCTCGTGCGGTAAAAGGGCGAGTCCTGGATCGATCTGGCTCCACGGGGCAAAGTCTTCTTCTTCTTCTTCAAATCCGAGGAATTATTAATCGCAGAAGAGGAGAAAGAAGAAGAGGAAGAAGAAGATGGGCAAGACGAAGTAGAAATCGTGGAATTGCCGAGTGTAGTAGGAGTGTCTGTGAATCGAAGGGCACCGATTGGCCGTGTAATTGCCGTGACAGAGGGGTGGGGACAACCGGTTACCGGCGTGGACACTGACGGATATGACATTTCTGAAGTTCGTGGCCATCTACGTTTTCTCTCCTCTCGTTCGTTTTGCCCCCGGTGGCCCGTCCCTCTCTCTCTCTCTCTCTTTCTATATCCTCCTTTTATTTCGATTCGATTTTTCTGCCGGTCTTGTTCCCTTATTATCTCGTTTTGCTCGTCTCCAGGCCCAGCCACGTCAGTTTGTCTCTCCTTCTGGCCGCTGCTCCTCGACTGTTTCCCTCCGACCCTCCCGTGCTCCCTGCGGCCTGAGAGCTGGTCCCTCTCTGGAGTCGTGCTTTTATTTCCTGTCGAGCTTCTTGCCGCCCCTTTTTCCTTCGGCTCCTCTTTCGCATCCTTCGTGTCGCTCTCGCGTCACTCTCCAAATTGAACACATCCAGCATTCCTCCCTCTCTTACTCTCTCTCCTACTTCTTTTGCTTTCTTATTAATTTCTGATCGAACAGTGAAAACGGAAGAACCGAAAGGTTATAGAGCCTGATGGTTCAGCCTCGTTTAATAACCATTAGAGGGGGAGAGAGGGAGAAGGAGGACTCCGAGGCGACTGTACATCCCCGAAGGTGAAAGGCTGACCGAGGGTGCGAAAGATCTAGAGCAGATAGGGGCCTCTATATTGATGAGCTGGCTCTCCGTGTATTGATTCCTCGGTGGGGGCCCCGCAGACCCCTTTTGCTACACGCCAGCTCCTGATAAGATCCAGCAGATAAGCCATGATTACACACCGCTCTCCCCAGGACAGAGTAAACAGTCTTCCACGTTGATGGTTGCTTCGTTTCCCTCGATTCTTCCTACCCTGACACTACCTCAGGCGGAATCTCTAATAAGCACACGACTAGCGGGGATCCTAGGCGGGGAATTACATGGGAGTTGTCGAGCTGCCAGTTTTTCACTGTTCTCTCCAGGAAAGAAGGACATGCTTGGTACATTGTACAGAGGGACAAAGGAGACCGTTTCAAGGACTCTCTCTATCTGTCTATCTATCTCTCTTTCTAAAGAGCGAGCGAGAAAGAGAAACAGGAAGACCCGCGGGGAAAAACAGTTGCGAGGACATTTTATATTCGTGGACGCACGCGAGTTCGAGAGCTCGAAGCATTGTGACCAAGTTTTCGCTCAAACTGCTTTCAATCGGTTTTCCATTAGGGAATCCCTTCTGCTTCCTTTCTGGCTACCGACAATGGCCCGGCAACCGGGGGTTAAGTGGCCGGTGAATGGGGCAGAGAGAGGAAGTTCGATCACGAGGAATCGGTAACTGTCCCTATGGCGAAGTGTTTGCCAATGGGGAACAGGTGTAGGGTTCACGTTTCCAGGGTACCAGGGGATTAGGGGCCCGATTTCACGCGATCCTGGCCCCCCGTTTCTGGCTTCTTGATTCTGCAATTTTATTCAGCCTCTTCGATCCTTCTTGATCCTCCGCGGCAAATTCCCAAACTATTATCAGTTATACATCTTATGTCGTGTTTCACATTCGACAGAGACTCTTGTTTTATGCCGCGAGTCTCTGAATTGCTCGATCTCAGCAGCTGGAACGATCCTCGAAGTCCTACCTCTGTGAAATTGAAATTTTTTAGCTAAGGTCGAGCAATCGTTAGAGGAGAAAACTGGCGATCCGATCGAAGGAGCCAGAATAACGAGCGCGTAACAGGTGTGATATCTGTGTGTTTTCTTTTCCAAAACTGTCGCTGCAGAGCGCGGCGAGGCGGGCGGGCACCAGCTGCGCCAACTGCAAGACCGCGACCACCACGCTCTGGCGGAGGAACCAGGCCGGGGAGCCAGTCTGCAACGCGTGCGGCCTCTACTACAAGCTGCACAACGTAAGTAATCGATCATACATTCCCCCTGTTACCCGCCACGATAACTAATGAACCGTTCCGATCGGACTTCTCGGGCTCCAAGACGCTTCGGCAACCGTATATACTTCTCCAACTTTTATACGGACTTCCGTTTTCCAATGAACGTTTCCAAACCAGTAATAATAGTACCCTCTCGAGGAGGCACACAGGAAAAGAGATTCGTGTGTCATTGGATACAATGTTTCTCGTGAGGGGAATATGCTAGGAGAGCCGACAAAGGACACCGTGATCCAGCCAGATCTTGGCAAATAGCAGAGGCAAAAGGTCGTTCTTTTTGGCCACCGTCGAAGCCACCGATCCACCGTAACGCAATATCGGATTGCTATTGTCGCCGTGCTCACGGAGAAAGAGAGAGGTCCATTGTTAGCCCGTGGAACCTAATTCCTTGATCTGGGGACAGGAGATTCTTAGTTACGCTTTGGATACCAATGAAACTCGCAGGATGTGTGTACACGTAGTTCTGTTGGCTCGCTTCGAAGAGGGGAAACGATCGTGTCGTTCGAAATGCTCGGCTTCGAGATTAGTACCAGCTTTAACTTGACTGACGTGTACTCTATTCGGAGTATCCAAATTTTTCTGGCTAGTCTTGCAGCCTGTCTATAGGATTCGTTTAAAAGTAAAATCTCCGACGTAGCAGAATACTCCAGTCTCTCTTCTAAACTACATTTCAGCCCAGGTTTGTTCTCTGCTAGGTAGATACAGCGAGGTATAGGTATAGTTCGCGGAGGGAAGAGTTTATGGTAGGAGGGAACGGTGAGTTTTCGTGTGAAATTCGCTGAGTCGGTGATAGGGTGGCCACTCGAGAGGCGCTTCTCTGTTGGAGCGTGCTCAACGGCGTGTGACACAGGAAGCAGCCAGCTAGACAAAGGGAGGAGGGAAAACGGACGTCCTGCGTGTCGAGTTTTTCTCGGGAACTTGCGCGTATTTCACGCCAAGACCCCTGGGGGGCTTCCGCCTCGCGGAAATCTTTGCCTGCCTCCTCCTTGCTAATTCCTCGCTCGGAAGGATGGCTTCCTTAATGCGCTCCGTAGGAAAGTGTAATTGAAACAAAAACCAGCCGAAAACGTATTATACAGCGTACGTTTAAATAGCTTGGAGAGAAATTTTGCAAAAAGGGAGAAACCTGTAAGAAACGATCCTGACTGGTGTTCAAGGAGCGCGTATATAATACGATATATCCACGATCACGCGATAAGGACTCGTCTGGAGCGTCCGCTAATTGGCCCGCGATGACACAATGAGTCCCACTGTGTTCGCCCCACCCTCGAGTATGCACGCGTCGCGGGGCAAATGGTCCGTCCGAATTTACGCGGCTTTTTATCTCTCCTTTTCATCTGGCTCACTCACCGCAACAGAGAGCCCTCTCTTTTCCATCTCTCTAGGACAGCCCTGTGTGTACACGGTATTCCACGTAGGCCCAGATACGCGATCTATTAAACTGGCGACAAGTTGGCCAAGCTTAATTCGCGTGTTTTCTCGTGACGTTTATCTGGCTGGATCTGAGGGGAGGGCGAGGGAGGCTGCATCCTCGCGCTGGTTAATGCCGAGTATAAAGGCCTGGGCCAGACACGTTTCCTGGTAATCATTAATTAAGCGTACGGCCGCCCTTCCGCTGCCTAGCGACATGGGACGCCGTGCTACGTGCTTCATGGGGTAGGGGGAATGAATTCGGGTAGCTTTACGATAGGCTATGCTCGTTCTTCAACCCGAAATTTTTCTTTTTTCTTCCTTTCTTTCTTTCTCGGAAGCTTCGAGGTAGAGAAAAAATGTCGTTAGGTAGCGATACGAAGAAAATTGTAACACTTGGCAAACGGGTGTGTACAATGCAGCAGGTATCGCAGTTGCAAATGGGTTAACAGGAGTCGAGTTTATTCTTGAAGGAAGAAAGAGAGAGAAATAGTTGATGGTTTTCTCGTGAGAGTATAGGGGTGTACACTGTACAGGATGGGATATAGGCGAGTGTCTTGGGTGACGTTAAGCCGACACGAGCATGCCAGCCCGGAATAGTCGATGGCCGAACAATCGGACGGCAGGGATTAGCCGGGGTCCGTGCACTCCTCAAGGTTCCCCCGATCGAGAATTCGATGGAACGTAATGGAATCTACCTGTGCTCGAAATGGCAGTCATCTGTGCTGCAACTAAACCTCCTAGCTCCAAGTCTCACCGATCGTTCCTCGAGGAATTCAACGAAATCGTCGTTCGTCCGCAGAGAAGAAGATCGCATTATACAGAACTGAAGAATAATTTACAACAACGAAGAAAATTCTTTGAAATGAAAGAACGCAGAGGGCATACAACGCGTGTAGAATTCATGAACCTTGAGAAGTCTAGTGCATGAACCTTTCGTGTACCAGGACCTCGGTCACGCTTCGAACACGAACAGCGTGGAGCAACAACGGAGCAAACGAAAGATTCCGGATGTTGGACGAGTCGAAATCGTATCGCGGGAGAGAGGAGAAGAATCGACGGCTACCAAGTATGTAAGTCGTCCAGGGCGCGAGAGATCAATCATCTGGAGAGCAGCGTCGTCCGGCAGTTTCTCTTGTACCTGCCACCAGGGTATACGGCCGTTCCCCGGGTCTTGTCCCGAGATTCGAGATAGACGCCGGCCCGCGGAGAGGGAGAGAGAGAGAGAGAGAGAGCGAGAAAGAGAGAATGGGAGAGGAGAGAGAGAGAGAGAGAGAGTGAGAGAGGCAGAGGGAGCGAAAGGGACGCGGAACGACAGATCTGGCGTCGTTAAGATAGAGCGCCGCGATAGCGGCCGTCCGTGGACGGTCGCGCGCGACAGACCTAGTCGAAAATACACGGATTATTCGTGCTCTCGGCGCCGTGGCTACCGGCTGCTCGAAATATGCTAATCGACGCTCGAAATCCTCGCCTGCCTGCGAACTCTCCCCGCAGGGTCACTCGTAGGGTCGCGCAACAGAAATTCCTCGAGCCAGAGGAGGACCAGCCTATGAGAAAAAGCTGCTTCTATACGTTGAAAACATTGGCTGTCTCGGGGGGTGTTGAAGAATGTTGGCGAGAATCAGGTCTGATCCTTGGATCCTTGTAAATCTTGCCCCGAGATGTGTAACTATCGACGCGAAATCAATTTTCCATCTCGTTACCGTCACGTGAAGCGCACACCGCGAACGAAGGAGAGAAGTTATTCACCTGGAGAGGAGCAAGAAGGTTGGGTACGCGGAGATTTCCGAAGAAAGGAGGCAGATTTAAATTTGAAATGGAAAAGCGACGGGAATAGCCTTTGGTAGAGGGATCTCGAACAGAGGACCGCTGTCTTTCCCGATACGGATCTCGATTTTATCGTCGCGGCTCGAAGATGACGCTGGATGTATATGCGTGTGGCCCGACCGATTGACCGATAAGAGGGAGAGAGGCAATTTTGGAGCGACGCGGGGCCGATCGAAGGTGTTCTCACACGTGCTTTTAATTCGACGCGCGATTTCAGGATAAATCAGCTGCGGTATGGGAGGGGGGAGAGACAGAGAGAGAGAGATTTGTTTGTCGAGCGAGGAAGTTGTAAAATCGCTTGCAAAGAGCCGCCAATTGATATGCCCCCGACGAACCGGCTACGAGACATTCCTGCGCGCGAGTAGCCGCCTTCTGCGAACGTTTTAGCCGAGTTCTGAGATGGGGATCGAACACAACACACTTTTCAATCAGCCTTTCGTGTAGATACCTTCTTCTATTTTAATATCGCGAAAGCTATTCTACAGGTTCTATTTCAATCTTGAATCTTCTACGCGCGATTCTTCTTCGTCGGCAGACTCGTGTTTCGACGTTTGTCAATTTCTCGAACAGCGTCCGATCGTGAGAGAGTAGGTTTAACAATTTTGTCGTACTTTCGACGGTAGGGGGGGATCGAAAGGAGGAGAATTGGGAGGAAATTCGCAGGAAGGTAGATGTCCAATCTTTCATTCATTGACCCCACCCGGTGCATGGGTTCGTGGCGCGATTTCGTATGCGATCGGTGTGCGGTTGCATCGTGTGTGACCACATCAATCTGCATTCGAATCTCTGCGGCCCTCTCCTCTCTCTCTCTCTCTCTCTCTTTTGTTTGCACCTCGCGAGCACGGTTTCGTCGCTCGGTTCCTATTAAAGCCGCTCGTATTGTATTCAAATCGGTTCGAGCTTTCTTTCGTATCTTCCTCCCCCTTGTGCTTCTGCTGCCGCTTCCTCCCCCCCCCCTCCCGCTCATTAAGCTCCATCCGTCCGCTAAGCAAAATACCGAAGCTTACAATTATTCTTTCCATTCTAACCACGGATTACCGTGTGCAACCTAGCGATTCGTCGCTTCAATTTCAAACTGGACCTTAACGCGTACAGAAATATCCTTCTCCACTTTAGATGACAGCTGTGTAGGCTACATTTCAATTTCCTTCCTCGGATAAAAATAAATCCGAGAGTTCTTCTCATCGAAATGCAACCGATGAAGATCCTAGGGTAAAGCCTAACGTTTAATTCTACCCATTCCAATTCCACTCTAGTACGGTTAATTTACATGAGAATAGCCCGTAGAGCAACGATCCAATTCCCTACATTTTTCTCGTCCAAATGCCAATGCGGAGATACGTCGCCGAGTAGAAGCGAAAGAGAGCGTGTCGCAGAGGGGATCCAGGGTAATTCGGCAAATTCGAGCAATTGCGTAATTCCGAAAAGAGTCGTTGACCGTCTGGCTTGGGTGGCAGGGGGGCGGACGGGGGAGGATGATGGCTCGGCCGCCACCTCCAGAGGCCTCGGTTCGCGCATCCCGCAATACCAGGAACCTTTTCCTTAAGTTGGCAGTTGCGTCACGTCGCGGCAACTACAAAGCGCGTTTCTCCGCCTCCCCCTCGCCGGCATTTCCTCCTCCGCCGCCGCCGCCGCCGCCGCCGCCACCGATGCACAGCACACCACACTTGCATACCTAGTTATTTCGTACTTAAGCATTGCACGCGGCGAGCATCCGCGCGCGTAAGCACACGCACGCATAATTGGTCCTGATGCGCGACCGCAGCGAAAATGTGGCGCTTCTATTCTCTCTGCTTTCGACCATCGATGCACTCTCATTTTGAACCTCTTTCGCAGTTGGATCGAGAAGAGGTAACGTTTCGTACGATTAAATTCGTGAGTAAATTCGTGGGACGATGTTTGACGTCTTTCGTTCGACGTGTCGACGTGGTTATGCGGTAATTGCGAAAACACAGAATTAGGATAGCGTCGGTTAGGGTAAGCGGGATGTATCGTTGAGACAGACGAAGACGTGGGACACATCGAGGAGATAGGATAATTATGTGTTCGCGAGGAGTATCGAAGCGTCTTGGTGCGGTTGGAATCCCGCGATAGATTCTAACCGATCGACTCAACGAATTGTTGGCTGGGACTCTTGCAGGTGAACCGGCCGCTGACGATGAAGAAGGAGGGCATTCAGACGAGGAACAGGAAGCTGTCGTCGAAGAGCAAGAAGAAGAAGGCAGGCGGCTGCCTGGGCCTCGGCGGCGTCATGGGCGATATGATCAAGGCCAGTGGTCACCTCGATCTCGACAACAAGCCCTTCCACTCTGGCTTCGGCTCGCCCATGAGTAAGTACCCCTCTTTCACACACCATATACGACCTCACCAATCCCATAAACCTTCTTTCCTTATTGCATCTTCATTTTCTCCTGTAATCGGTCACTTAGAGAAATATACTTTTTGGCTTGGAATTTTTCCGCGTTTAAATACCGTTTTAACGGAAATATCGAGATTCGGTGTTTTTCTTCGATTACAAAATGTTCCCCGGTTGATTAATTCCAAGCTGACAGAGTGAACTCATTTCCAAGACGATATACCTACAAGTTCCACCTATCAGAGTCTAGACTCTAGGATAGAATGTTCTCCAAGTCTCTTTGAGTATCTCTGTAAAAAGGAAGAGGAAATGAAAGGGAGGGGTTTGAATGGTGTATTGCAGGCACGTCGCAGCATCACCACACGATGCACCCTGCGATGCAGCACTACATGTACCACACGGGGGTTGGAGTGGCCGGTGGATTGCACCAGGGGTTCGCGCCTCCGGCACCGCCGCCGATCCACCCGCATTCTCACTCGCATTCCCACTCCCACCACATGACCAGCCTTCAGGGTCTCCAGCTGGCCGCCACGACGAACGCGATGGTGAGTTCTCTTTTCTCATTTTCCACGGATAATCCATGCGTTAACACGTTGACTGTACCGCTGGCGATTTAGTTTATTTCGTTTAATGCACAGGGTGAGTCACATCGTCCATCCTGAATAACTTCGAATTTCTTCTCTTAAATACGATGTAATTTGTACACCGGGTGGGTCACGTGAAACAGGCCACCTAAGTATTTTTTTTTAGCTATGATGGTACAAGAAAATTTTGGACATGATTTAAAACGGTGCCAAAGGGTGAATAAGATGAAAGAAAAGTTTTATGCTTTTTTTTAATTACACGAACTTGGATTTTTAAATTTTAAACCAAATGTGAAACTTCCTTTCATTTTTTTTTTTCTTTTTTTTTTGAGAGCAAGAGCAGGAAAATTGTTTTTTGAAACTATTGAAATTACGTATAAAAATTTTGCCGCACCAGAGAAGATAATTAGGTGGCCTACCCTGTATAAAACAGTTTTCCGTGGAAAACGTATTTTAAAAATTCTTCGAGGTGGACAAATTATGTGACTCCTCTAATATTAAATCTAACGATTTTGGGGATAAAATCTTTTTTGCTAGGTTTGTTCTTGGAAGCTTGTAAATCGCTTTAAATTCAGAACAAATTCGAAACGTTCACCACAATCTTATCTTTCTATTCTATCATTCTACTTTCTTCAGCTATAATTTCACGAAGGTATCTACAGTACCGACCGAAAATTTCGGATCAATTTACTGTGTCTAATTCTTGGTAAATTTGAAATCGACGTTGTGGAGATAATTTACTTCGTATCTATCGATCAGAGTGACAAAAAAACTTCGTTAAAAATGATTAAAGTTGTCACCATTTTCCTCGAAATAGTTGTGTAATTTACAGTGCACAGTGGTCTCAATTTACTTACGACAAATCAATTCTCAATTCCTCCTTTTTCTACACTTTCCTTGCTGGAGAAAATTTCTCTCACACTGCTCTTTCAGCCTACAAGTTTCATTCTTTTCCATTGATTAACTGTACGAATAGTCAACGTGTTAATCCTGAATCAGCGCGAGCCCGTGCATTCGGCGAATTTCAGCGCGGGAGAAACTGGAACGAGGAGATCGATCGATCGTTCTGTTTGTCTGGTTTCAGACCGGCTGGCGATCGGAGTACACATGAATCGCGAGTGACCACCAGCTCAGGACGCAGCCCACCACTCTCGTTCTAGCGTAATAGAGAAACTCTCTCTCTCTCTCTCTCTCTCTCTCTCTCTCTCTCTCTCTCTCTGTCTCTCCCCCCTCTCTCTCTCTCTTTCTCCTCTCTTTCTCTCCCTCTCTCTCTTTCTCTCTCTGTGCACTTACGCGACGAATCACGAGAGAGGTGAACGGGAAAAGAAAAAGTCGAATAAACACTTTTTACTATTAGCCCCTTCGCGTCCCTGTAAATATGTATAAAAAGAATAAAGTAAAATTTCCACAAGGCAGGGCCGTAAGTGGCCGGGCCCCAAGTACAAAACGAAGTCATCTAGCTTCTGCTAATCGAGTCTGATCGTAGACATGCTCTGTACATAGAATAATTATCGAGGTGCGTGCGTAAATGCGGTGTGTGTGCGCGAGCGTGTGTGTGTGCGTGTGCGTGTGTGTTTGGCTTCGAAGACTGATGGACGACGGGAGAGCGAATAATTTTTTAATTTATTCCTGGGCGAGAAGGGAGGGAAAATTGGCGGGAAGGGTATGAAACCCCCCTCCACCCCTTGGAAACGGAAAAGCAAATTAGGAATCGGTCTTCGTGGGCCATGCTAGCTGCGTGTAATCAGAGAGACATCGTGCAATTTTTTCAAATCGTTTTATTAGACAATTCTATCGCGTGTCCAATATCGTTGGACGTCGATTTGTCCGATTCTTCCACCGCGAGAGGGAAACCATTTCTTCCTTTACATTTCTTCTTCGTTTGTAGCTTCGTTGCGAACCAAGAATGAGAGAGCACATTTCGTTCACTTGTCACGACGTACGCGTGAAAAATCGACGTCCAATCGTTCGGTGTGCGCGCGTCGTGTGTCAGTAGAGAGCAATATAGTGCAGCACGTTAGCGAGTAAAGTGACGAAAAAAAAGGGGGAAAGAGAAACAGAAAAGTTTGGAAAAGGTAAACGAACGAACGGGGCGAGCGAACGAATGAACGAACGGGAACGAACGAGGAGAATCTCCGGTGACGCAGCCGATCGAGAAAAAACCAAATACATAATAATTCGCGGCGCGGCGTGGCGCGGAGCGGCGGGACAATGCACGAGCGGAAAATGGTAGAAAACGAGGGAAACGGAGGGAAAAAGGAACGCAAAAGAAGAGCGCGGTGTAAATTTTGTATCTTCGAGAAGTTGTGTACCGTTATATCATTGTAATAAAAAGAAAAAAAAAGAAGAAAAAAAACC